ACCCTTCTTGTAAAGTAACTTGCGGTATAGTATTTTGAATGTTGTAGAAATCTTTGTTTGTGAAAGTTATCTTTTTGTCGGTGTCATGAAAGGATCAACACGCATCCGCGTATCACACTGATTTTGTAAACTCTTGCTTCGATGACATAAGCATTGATATTTCGAGCTTTTCACATGTTGGCAAAGGGAACAACTAATGCTTAGCCTAGTAAATTTTTTTACTTGACAAAGCTCAATAGGACACAACGGTATGAAAACAGAGAAACTACTGAGAAAAATGGGTCCAGCTATTGGAAAACGTTCCAGCTATGTTCTGCTTCGCTTAATAGGCACTTTTAGTCTGGTTCATCCCCGTCATGTTTTGGTGTCGCCAAATCAGGATGCTATATTATCGGAGGACCACACACCTATCACTTCCTTAGACACCCACCTGTTAAACAAGTATGTTGCACAAATTTTTGTATTTATGTAGTGTAGTGATCAATTAAGCCTTTATTACTTTCTTTTTCCAGTGTTTTGTCACCGCCCACTAGTTACTCACCAGAAGATCATCAGCTTTCTAATTCACCATTGTATAGTAATGATTCATCTTATATGTATGATAACACTTTTTACTATCCATCCACTTCATTGGTAAAATCGTTTTCACCCGATGTGTCTACCACACCAGGTTCTCAGTGCGACAAGTAAGTTAGATTTTAGAACTTTTGATTTGCGTCTTTGACCCTCTTTCTATTTGGATTGCAGTTACGACTCTAACGTAGGTTTCTCGCATCTTATCTGTTCTCATAACGCTGACGATTTCGGTGTTGACATCTCGTATGGAAGACAAAGTGAGTTTATCTTGCTCATTATTAATAGTAGAATATACACTTCGTCTTCCAGACAGTTCTGTTGTCTCTGCTTCTCAGGCGCAAGAGCATGTTGAGACACCTTCGGATTATTCATTTATAGATGACATTTATGAAAGCGTTAGGGAGGAGATCGAGGCAGAAAAGGTAGTTTTTATCCTACATCTGATTCTTTAACTTGGTAGAATTAGGTTCTGGAAAGAAAAAGAATCTGCCGCCACATTAGTGGCATGTCAAGGCAGCAAGCTGATTAAGCGTTTTGAAATAAAAAATTTGAAGTAAAAATCGGTTTGTAAGCCGTTGTCAAGGCTGTTTTTATCTCAATGGTCACTTTCTGCCTTTCTCAAATATCAAATCATATATTACAATTTTGCCTTAGTTTGCCTTGATAATCAGTGAAGTTTCAAATGTAAAATAGCAGCCATGAGTGGTTTGCTTACTAATCATCTTGCAAACTTTAGTTTGCCTGCAGTTCGACGTTAGCTGCCCCTGAAAATGCACCACCAGCAATTCCCAAAATAATACTCGCTGTCGATCAGCCTGTTACTATCGTTGGAGAAGATGGTAAGGAATACAGGGTTGTTCTTCAGTCTGTGGAAGAGAATGAGAACAAGAGAAAGAGGAAATCGGAAAACGTTAAGGTGTGTTTGTTGTAGCGAAATGCACCGATTTTTTCTTTAAAGGGTAAATACATCATCATCCTAAATGCCCATATCCTATTATTGGCGTTTCATTTTTGGTAAGATTTGTTAATATAGTGACTGCAGTTTCTCTGAGCTTAAAAGAATGGTTCATGTTTGATCAGGGTATATGTCGAGTGGCGCGATTTTGGGTTGTCACTAAGGGCACATCTGCAGTGGTATGTTA